AGGTTTCAGAGCTCAGCACAGCACAGAAACAGCATTAATGAAGGTTACAAATGATCTTCTTATGGCCTCTGACAGTGGACTCATCTCTGTGCTTGTCCTGCTAGACCTTAGTGCAGCGTTCAATACTGTCGACCATAATATCCTATTAGAGCGATTAGAACACGCTGTAGGTATTACAGGTACTGCACTGCAGTGGTTTGTATCATATCTATCTAACAGACTCCAATTTGTACATGTAAATGGAGAGTCCTCTTCACACACTGAGGTTAATTATGGAGTTCCACAGGGTTCAGTGCTAGGACCAATTCTGTTTACATTATACATGCTTCCCTTTGGCAGTATTATTGGAAGACATACCATACATTTTCACTGCTATGCAGATGACACCCAGCTCTATCTGTCCATGAAGCCAGATAACACACAACAATTAGTTAAACTGCAGAAATGTCTTAAAGACATAAAGACCTGGATGGCCACTAACTTTCTGCTTCTAAATTCAGATCAAACTGAGGTTATTGGATGGCATTACCTTGGCCTCCAGTAACACTGTGAGGAACCTTGGAGTCATTTTTGACCAGGACATGTCCTTCAATGCACATATTAAACAAATATGTAAGACTGCTTTCTTCCATTTGCACAATATCTCTAAAATTAGAAACATTCTGTCTCAGAGTGACGCTGAAAAAAAGAGTTCATGCATTCATTACTTCTAGGCTGGGCAACTGTAATTCATTGTTATTAGGATGTCCTAAAATTCCCTTAAAAGCCTTCAGTTAATCCAAAATGCTGCTGCAAGAGTGCTGACAGGGACTAGAAAGAGAGAGCAGATTTCTCCTGTATTGGCTTCTCTTTATTGTTCTTCTGTTAAATACAGAATTGAATTTAAAGTTGTTCTCATTAAATACAAGGTCTTAAATAATCAGTCCCCATCTTATCTTAATGACCTTGTAGTACCATATCACCCTATTAGAGCACTTCACTCTCGCACTGCAGGTCTACTTGTTGTTCCTAGAGTATTTAAAAGTAGAATGGGAGGCAGAGCCTTCAGTTTTCAGGCCCCTCTTCTGTGGAACCAGCTCCCAGTTTGGATTCAGCAGACAGACACGATCTCTACTTTTAAGATTAGGCTTAAAACCAGTAGCAGAAAATGGGTTTCTTCCTGTTAAAAGGGAGTTTTTCCCTCCGACTGTCACCAAAGCACTTGCTCACAAGGGGTCATAAGATTGTTAGGGCTTTCTCAGTTTTCTTTGTCTGTATGGTTTTTACCTTACAATATAAAGCACCTTGAGACAACCATTGTTGTGATTTGGCACAAAATAAATGAACAGAACTTTTCACGGGATTCTTTGGCAATAAAATAAAGAACGTGACAATACTGTGGGGTAAGCATTTCATTGTCAATACTGCCTGTAAATAGTCAGGTGTTTCTTCTGTAACACTGCACAGCTGGAGAGTTTTCTATACTATTTGCAAAACATGTATCGTTGTATCTTTGACAAACTGGTCGGGGCATCTGGAGTTCGCATATTAATGCATCTTATTATGAAGAATTTTGATCCTGATAAGGACCTGAATAAGGACAAAAATGATATCACTCATATGTTATGGCTTCCCTAATATTTTGATCTCAGGTTAACTTGACATTTTGGACGGACAGCCCTTCCACCATAATCAGTGAAACACCAAAATAGTTAATATGTTTTGGAAAAATAGCGTTCACTCCTCCAGCAGAGTTTGGGAGACTTGAAAAATCATGTGGTGGCCCAAGACCTTACTGAGACACTATATGTCGATTTTTCTTTTAATTTATCACCTGCTTGTATTATGTTCAAGTGAAAATGTAGAACTGGTTTAAAGCGTCTAAGGGAGATCACTGTGCAGGACCAGGTGGTCACCAGGCAGCTGTCTCATGATAGAGAGAGATGAAAGCTTTTGTCGACACCTTTGTTCCGACACACATTAAAGGTCCCTTTGAAGGGCATGCACTCTGCGACCACTGTGTGACTGTGGTTTCCAGGGAAAGGAGTGAAGTAAGCACAGCTGGAGAGGGCGCACACTGATTACTCTTTCTCTCTCTACCTTCCTCTGTGTCCTCTCTGCCCAGGAGCGCCCCTGTTCATTAAACCATCACAAGCTTAGAAATCCCTGTCAGCTGCTGCAAAATGCAACTAATAAATTTGGCGTCACAGAATTCTTAGTACACACTGACATTAGGATTCAGGGACTCTGTGTATAAAAGTGTTCTACAAACAAAACACCTGTTTTCTGTATATGTGAAGATGTTTTCACACATGTACTGAACCCTTAAATGTTTCTGTAACGTCCCTGACAGAGGTACAGGTCAGAACACAAAGTCTGTGGGATGTCTGATTGCTTTAAGATGTGAACAGTGCAGTCAGTGGTCCATGCCCGCTGGCTTGTGGTTGTCTTGTGTGCTGCCCCGTGAACTCTCTACCCAGGCAGCTCTCCCGTCTTAAACACATACCATTTCTAGTGCTGCAGACACTTCTGAAATTGATTATTTTCTAATATTTATTTATTTATTTAGGACAGTGCATGTTAATGAACATAAATGTAAAAAAAAA